TACCTGCGCGAGGCTCACCACCTGCGGCACGGACTCGCCCCCGTCGCGATTGGTGACCACCACCTATAAGGGAATCCTCGTGAGCACCATCGCGCCGTCGCGTGTGTGTGTGCGCCGTGTGTCGTGTGCTGTGTCGTGTGTGCCGTGTGTTGCGTTGAGGTGGTACCGGGGTGCCGAGTAGCAATTGTTTGACAACGTTGGCCGTGGCCGCCAACAGACGACGAAGGCCGGTGAGCCACAGGGTGGTGGTGTCCATCGAGCGTCGCCACTCCTGCGCCCGCCCATCGCCGCCGTCTGCGGCCGACGACGAGAACAGCCGCGCGTCAAAAGTCGACACCAGATCGCTCAGCTTGCCCAGGCTCTCGTCCACCGCCGACGGCGACATCAGCACCGCCTTGCGCATTCGTATCCGCTTGCCGTCACTAAGTTCAATCGTTTTGCCGTCGCGCTCTGCACACGCGACACACATGACACACACGACACACAGGTGAAAAACGAGTGATGCGAGCGCGATTCGTGCACGATTGAGTACCGGGCTCGCTGCTGCTGGCTTTTTTCCGGCTACCGGCGGTGTTGAAGACGTGGACCTCGTCGGTGCGCGGGTGCAGGAGCAGCACGTGCTGGAGCATGTAGAGCGGCTTGCCCTCCTCCTCCTTGAGCCCGCCGGCCATCCACAGACTGTCGGTGTCGGCCAGGCCGCCCGAGCCCTGGTCCTCGTCGACCAGCACCGGGAACGCGCGGAGGAGCGACGCGCCGCCAGAGGCATCGCGGCTGCGCCAGCACAGGGACAACGTCAACTGCTGCCACTTGTGCGATGACTTCCAAAACTGCGTGATCGTGTCTGGTTGTGTGTGTCGTGTCGTGTCGTGTCGTGTCGTGTCGTGTCGTGTCGTGTCGTGTCGTGTCGTGTCGTGTCGTGTGTCATACCTATTAGTCACGACACACGCAACACAACACTACACACGATTCAGGTGGGTACCATCGGTGATGGCCGCGGGAACGACGAAGAGGTTGGGGAAGCGCGGGTAGCGGAAGTCGCGGTTGAGTCTAGTGATGCGCCACTGCTTGTCGGGCGTCTGCTGCCGTTTGAACTCCGCCGCCGCGTCGTAGACGCAGAAGCCGGACGCGTTGACCGGCGCCGCGGCAAAGCTCTCCTTGTTCTTGTAGGCAAACAGGTCCCTGCGCTCCACAAACACCAATATCGGCGCCGGTGAGCGTGTGCGACGTGTGCGATGTGCTGTGAGTCTGAGCGACGTGTGCTACGCGTGCGATGTGTGTCATTTAAATGTCGTACGATAGCTTGGCGGGACACAGGCGCTGTTTGAAGATGGCCGAGATGGCCTTGTGCAGCTCAGTGGTGAGGAAGAAGACCGAGACGGACCGGAAGTCCTTGCACTTCAGCGCAAAGCCCGGCAAGTCTTGTTCGGCGTGGCGCACCTGCTCCACCTTCATGACCATCGCTAACGGCACACAGTCGCTCATCTCCTATTTTGGTGTGCGTGCGCGTGCGCGTGTGCGGTCGTGCGTGCGCGTGTGAGCGTGCGTGTGCGATCGTGAGTGTGCGTGTGCGGTGGTGCGTGTGCGGTGGTTGCCTGTGCGTGTGCGTGTGCGTGTGCGTGTGCGTGTGCGTGTGCGTGTGCGTGTGCGTGTGCGTGTGCGTGTGCGTGTGCGATTTTGACAGATCATAACTCGAAGAGTTGAGCGGTGACGTCGGGCTTCAGGGTACCTGTGCGATGAAGATGAGGCGGTAGTTGGTCACCCACAGCGCACCGCGCCGGCAATCGCGCAGGGCGTGATGGGCGAACAGCACGTCGGGCTCCGAGCTGCCACCCCCGTGCAGCAGCTGCTCACCCGCTATGAGCCCACCCTCGTCACCTGCACTCTTGTGTCAGGCCACCGGTCATTTTAACTCCGAAAGGAAGAGCGAAGCGCGGTACCGGAGCTGTGAGGAATAGCGAAGGTCCCGGACGCTGCTCCCGAAGCCGACGTGTCGCGCCCTTGGCTTGCGCTCTTTCTGCGGAGACGACCGAAGCGCGATGACTTGGTCGCGGAAGAAGGTGATGATAACGATGATGAAGTAGATGACGATGTGGGCGACAGCGGCGGCGACAGTGACGGCGGTGAGGCTGAGGCCTTGAGCTGCGCGCGGGCGTCGCGGATGGCGTCGACCCACTCGCGGGCCGATCGTTCGTCGCGCGCGGCCATGACATACACGCGCCCCTCCGTCACCACCTCGAACAGCACCCGGCCCTTGGCGGCAGTCTTCTTGCCGTCAACTACCACCAGCCGAGTGTCCTGCACCCTGTCCAGCGCGATCGAACCTCGCTCCACCACGTCTACCCAAAAAGAGAATAATTTTTGATTAAAATAAATAAATATAATAAAACCAACAGCGCGTGACACACAAAAATGGAAAGTGCAATTAAAATAAATAATGAAGGAAAATAAAAAGTATTAAGTGACAAAGAGCGGGCACCGTGTT